CCGAACACCCTTGCCCCAACCCTGACGCCCTGACCCTGACGTCTGACCCGAACGCCCTCGCCGAAACATCCCTGCACCCTGACACCCAGCCTCTAAAATTCTGAACCCATCCTGGCGAGCGCGCCTGAAGTAGAGAAAACCTGCACACCAAAGACGTCTCGCGCTCTTGTTTTTTTGTTTTTTTGTGGGCGGCCGCGCGGTGGCTGCGAAGATCAAGGAACAAGATTGCCGCGAGCAGGGAGCGCACGGGCTGCGCCCCAGGACAGCCCCCGGGGGGGCGCGAAAAGGCCGCGCGAGGGGGGCGCAGAGACCCCGAAGACGGAAGGGCCCCGAGGCACCCCGTGCCTCGGGGGGCGCCTCGAGGGGCCTCAGGGTCGCCTCGAGGTGCCTCGAGGCGACCTGTGCTTCGCAGGGCGCTCGAAGCAGGCGCCGCGCCCTGCCGCCCGGCAGCCTCAGAGGCCGAACTGCTGGACGCCGTCCTTGCCGGTGGCGAGCTCCGCCACTATGATGCCCACGACCGAGAACATGGCCATGCGTCCGTTGTTGATCTCCTTGTTCCGGATCTCGTCGCTGTAGCCGCCGCCGAAGGCGCCGAAGAGACCCGCCCAGTCGCCGGGGTCCCCGAAGTTGCCAGGCTCCTTGGACAGGTCGTCATCCTTCCAGTACACGGTCTCAGTGATCGCGGCGATGGGGAGGACGAGGCAGGCGAAGCCAAGCACGCCGGAGGGGTCGGCGAGAGCCCCGAGCCCTGCCGGGGTGCCCTCGAAGCTGGGGAGCCTCACGAAGTGCTGGAACGCGGCCCCGAAGGCGGCCATCATGTTGTTGTTGTTGGGGGGTACGCACGCCCGGACGGCGGCCCCCGCCGACCTATCAGAAGACGAAGCGCAGAGGCCGACACGAGATACCCGCCAGGAGGAAGGGGGAGGCGGAGCAGGAAAAGGGGGAGGAGGAGGAGGAGGAGGGAGGAGGGGGAGGGGGAGCAGGGGAGGAGAGGATATCCCGTAGCGGGCCACAGGGACACCCAAACACTCGTTTGCGCAGGGTCCAAATGGTGGGCGGTTCCCCCCTGAAAAAGCGGTTGGGATCACTGTGCACCCGTACATCCCGGACAACGTACACAACATAATAGCGTACCACACACACTCAAGAGTACGCACAACATACACAAAGTACATACACGCACAGTGCGTATCCCTTTATGCGACTCCCCGTCCATGCGACGTTCCCTCCCATACGGTTCGCAAGCGGCCTGGATCCTCCGAGGTTGCATCACATGCCAACAGGGTGCAAGACCCCCACCCAAAGAGGCCCGGTGCAAGACCGGACCCCGGCGCAGCGGGCGGCCCGAAGGCGAAGGCGGCACAAGCAACCAAGCGAGAACACGGGCACGCACAGCTCGCAGCTTGACGAAATACAGGATTACGCTCGAAACCCGCCAGATCCCGGACAACGTACACAACAGAATAGCGTACACACACACTCACGAAACACACGGTACCATACACAATGTACATAAACGCACAGTGCGTATCCCTTTACGCGACTCCCCGTCCATGCGACGTTCCCTCCCATACGGTTCGCAAGCGGCCTGGATCCTCCGAGGTTGCATCACATGCCAACAGGGTGCAAGACCCCCACCCAAAGAGGCCCGGTGCAAGACCGGACCCCGGCGCAGCGGGCGGCCCGAAGGCGAAGGCGGCACAAGCAACCAAGCGAGAACACGGGCACGCACAGCTCGCAGCTTGGCGAAATACAGGATTACGCTCGAAGCCCGCCAGAGTTCCCCCACCCACCCTCCGAGAAATGCCAGAAGAACCAAACGTTTCCAAACTGCTCGGTAGCCACTGGCGTCCCTGGTCGCCTGGCCAAAACATGTAAGGTCGACACCTTAGGACCGGCAGCGCGCCGCACAGTAACCCGCGCTCCACCTACACCAGGGTGCGGTGGTCAGGCGCCCCCCAGCGCTAACGACTAGTGTGTGGCCAGGGGAGATGCCCGGAGACATCAACCGCCCCCGGCCCAGGGACTGTCGAGTGATGCCCTCCCGCCCTGGCAGGAGACACGAGCAAGAACAAAGGGAACGAACGACCCAGGGCACAATGCGCACAGCGGACTCGGAGTCCATCCGCTGTGCACTGCAGGGGTTTGCCGTGCCGGCTCGCGCAGCATTTCTGAAAACCATGGACTAGTCTCCATCCTATGTAGCCGGCCCGTTGCCCCACGACCCGGCCGGGCGGCCTGGGCATCCATGGGTCTACATAATCACAAGCGCGCAAAACGAGGCACAGTAGCTCCTTTCCGACTCGGCGGTCTGTGGACGCGCCGGTCGAGATGGCGAGTCTCGACCCGACGCCGCGGCCCAAGGAGCAGGGCGTGGGGCGGCGAGGATCAAAACCGCGCCCTACGCTGAAGAGTCTGAGCACGGACAAAAAAACAGTACCACACAGCCCAAAAGACCCTCCTTCGCAAAACAACGATAGTTCATGTAGACTCGTGGCACGAAACACACGCACAAGCACAACACACATCACGCACAGTAAAAGATTGGAACACAACATAATAGCGTACCACACACACTCAAGAGTACGCACAACATACACAAAGTACATACACGCACAGTGCGTATCCCTTTATGCGACTCCCCGTCCATGCGACGTTCCTTCCCATACGGTTCGCAAGCGGCCTGGATCCTCCGAAGTTGCATCACATGCCAACAGGGTGCAAGACCCCCACCCAAAGAGGCCCGGCGCAAGACCGGACCCCGGCGCAGCGGGCGGCCCGAAGGCGAAGGCGGCACAAGCAACCAAGCGAGAACACGGGCACGCACAGCTCGCAGCTTGACGAAATACAGGATTACGCTCGAAACCCGCCAGATCCCGGACAACGTACACAACAGAATAGCGTACAACACACACTCACGAAACACACGGTACCATACACAATGTACATAAACGCACAGTGCGTATCCCTTTACGCGACTCCCCGTCCATGCGACGTTCCCTCCCATACGGTTCGCAAGCGGCCTGGATCCTCCGAGGTTGCATCACATGCCAACAGGGTGCAAGACCCCCACCCAAAGAGGCCCGGTGCAAGACCGGACCCCGGCGCAGCGGGCGGCCCGAAGGCGAAGGCGGCACAAGCAACCAAGCGAGAACACGGGCACGCACAGCTCGCAGCTTGGCGAATTACAGGATTACGCTCGAAGCCCGCCAGAGTTCCCCCACCCACCCTCCGAGAAATGCCAGAAGAACCAAACGTTTCCAAACTGCTCGGTAGCCACTGGCGTCCCTGGTCGCCTGGCCAAAACATGTAAGGTCGACACCTTAGGACCGGCAGCGCGCCGCACAGTAACCCGCGCTCCACCTACACCAGGGTGCGGTGGTCAGGCGCCCCCCAGCGCTAACGACTAGTGCGTGGCCAGGGGAGATGCCCGGAGACATCAACCGCCCCCGGCCCAGGGACTGTCGAGTGATGCCCTCCCGCCCTGGCAGGAGACACGAGCAAGAACAAAGGGAACGAACGACCCAGGGCACAATGCGCACAGCGGACTCGGAGTCCATCCGCTGTGCACTGCAGGGGTTTGCCGTGCCGGCTCGCGCAGCATTTCTGAAAACCATGGACTAGTCTCCATCCTATGTAGCCGGCCCGTTGCCCCACGACCCGGCCGGGCGGCCTGGGCATCCATGGGTCTACATAATCACAAGCGCGCAAAACGAGGCACAGTAGCTCCTTTCCGACTCGGCGGTCTGTGGACGCGCCGGTCGAGATGGCGAGTCTCGACCCGACGCCGCGGCCCAAGGAGCAGGGCGTGGGGCGGTGAGGATCAAAACCGCGCCCTACGCTGAAGAGTCTGAGCACGGACAAAAAAAACAGTACCACACAGCCCAAAAGACCCTCCTTCGCAAAACAACTATAGTTCATGTAGACTCGTGGCACGAAACACACGCACAAGCACAACACACATCACGCACAATAAAAGATTGGAAACACACCTCCGAACGCAAGCTCCTTGAACCAATACTGCATGACCCCGCTTCAGCCGGAGCCTGCGGAGCCTGTGGAAGCCGCCGCAGTCGCCGACCTGGCAAAACCCGAGCGGGTCGAAGAAGCCCAGGGGCGCCGTCACGCCGACCGCCTGGGCGGGGTCGAAGGGCGGCGGCGGCGCGGGGGCCTCCGCTGCGGCGGCCGCGGGCGGCGCCTCCGCCACCGCGGCCGTCGCCGCCGGCAGCTCGCGCCGCGGCGCCGCGCGCCGGCCTCCTGCGGGCGCCGGCAGCCGCCGCCGCGGCGGAGCCGAGCAGCCAGGGCGACGCGGCGGCGCCAGCCTCGGCGCCGGCCTGCGCCGGGGCGGCCCGCGCCGCCGCGGCAGGCGCGGCGCCCCGAAGGCTGGCCGCCAGGCCGGGGCCGGCCACGGGCGCGGCGAAGGCCACGGGCAGCTCTGGGCCGGACATCTCGGCGCTCGCGGGCAGCGGGGGGGAGCGCAGAGGAAGCGCCTCGCGCCAAAACGGCTTGAGCCCAGATGGCTACGGACGGCGTCTCTCGCGCTCTTCTTTGGCGTTCTCTGGGGGCACTTGCAGGGTTCGGGTGGACTTTCTGAGGCCATGGGCCTTGTCGGCCCGCCATGGTTTTTGATGGCGCGGGTTGGCATGGGGTTCTGATGGGTTCCATATCTGGCCTCGCCAGGGGCCATGGGCAGCCCGAAAGTGCCACAAAAAAGGTCATGGCAGAAAAACGGGCAGAGGGTGAGGAGGAGGACGAGGACAAGGAAGGAGGCCTTGACGACATTCTCCGCCGCTAACGCGCCAGCCGCGGCTCCCCATGAGGGCCTCAAGGCCCGCAGACGCCCCAGAGAGGCCCCCCCATGAGGGCCCAAAGGAAGCCCCAGTCGCGCTCACGGCGGGGATGGGAAGGGCTTGAGTGGTGAAAAAGGAGGGGGGACGATGATGATGACGACGACGACTCCCACATTTCCCAAACTCCCCGCCACCCGCGGTGCGCACTGTGCCCCTGAGGGTCCGGAACTCATTGCGGGCCTTCGGGGGGCTTTCGGAAGGCTGGAAAGCGCTCCCCAGACCGTTCAGGAGGCCTCCGAGACGGTGCAAGAGCGCTCAAAGACGTCCAAGATGGCTTAAAGACAGTCCGAGAAGCATACTCAAAACGTGTACGTTGTCCAAAACAGAGATGATAACTTTGGGCTTTTGACGCCCTCTTGGGAGTGTTCCCGGAGGCCTCGAGGGGCATCTTGGAGGCCGCACGGGCCGTCTGGAGCCCATCTTGGGCGTCTTCTAACAATATTTCGGCGAGTCGGGGCACTTTTGGCAGAAGAAGAGCAGGTGGAGGAGGGCTGGCAGGGATGGGAGTGGTGAAAAAGGAAGGGGGATGAGAAGAGGAGGAAAATGAGGATTCGGGGACGCCGAACGGCGCACCCCCCCTCGAGCCTGAGGTTTGGAGGAGTTTGGGGGGCTTGGGGAGCCGTCCCTGGCTCCCCTGGGCTCACCCGGGAAGGCTCCAAGGCAGTTTGGGGTGCTGCGCGGCATGTTCCCGGACCGCCGTCCGGGAACATGATTGGGACGGCCCCTGGAGAACCTTCTGGACGCTTCCTCGTGCTCGTGGGCCGTCATGGAACCCTCTTCAGGGCGTCGGGCGGTGTCGGAACCGTCTTCAGCGCGTCTTGGGCCGCCTCGGAGCCGTCGCGCGGGAAGCCTCTTTGGGCCCTGTTCGGGCCTGGGTAGTCGCCTCTTGGGGCCTTTTGGGGTCCTCCTGGGGCCTCTTGGGGGCCTCTTGGGGGCCTCTCGGGGGCCTCTATGGGGCCTCTTGGGGACTCCAGGGGGCCTTTTGGGGGGGAGAGCTGGCTTCTTCGGTTCGTCTTCCTCCTTGGGGCGATTGTGAGCCGTCTTGCGCGGCTCTTGGGCCGTCCTGTGGCCCTGTTGGGCCGTCTTGGGGCTCTCTTGGGGGCCTCTTGGGCCATCGTGGAACGTCGGGAAGCTAAAAAGGCGAGAAAGCCAAAAGCAGTTTTAAAAAATGAAGAAAGTCATCGAATTTGAACTCTCGGGGCTCTCGTCGCCAGTGTATGTATGCTGCGTACGTGTTCTACACATGCTGCATTTCTGTACGCATTTGCGTTTGTGCGAATGCATGTGTATACGTATGCATGAAAGCGTGCACAAATTCAAGCGCATGCATGCATGTGTACGTGTATGCATGCGTGTATCGAAAACGCCTACGGCGAATCACCGCCGCCCCCTGCCTTTTTGGAAGCGCCTATGTGGCCGAACGTTGAGGCCAGACCTGCCAAGCTATCGGACCATGTGTTCCCCGAATCGGTTTGGAAAGCCTTCGGGGAACACGTGGGCATCTTGAAGGTCATCTTGGCCGCCTGGAGGCCATTTTGACCCTTTCGGGCCTTCTTGGAGGACGTCTTGGAGGGTATCTTGGGCCGTCTTGGAGGCTATCTTGAGCGTCTTGGAGACCTCTTGGGCCGTCTTAGGGGGCCTCTTGGGGCCGTCTTGGGCCTCTTGGGCGATCTTTGGGGGCACTTGTGCCGTCTCGGGCCGTCGAAAGGCCGAAAAAAAGCAATTGCCACAATCCTTCAAAAACTCATGGGGAAATCAATGATGTTGGCCTTTTCGGGCCTTCCTGGAGGCCCTCTTGAAGGCCCTCTTGGAGGCCTCTTGGGCCATCTTAGTGCCAACTTCGGCCACCTTGGTGGGCCCCTGGCCCGTCTGACGCCGTCGAAAGCCGTTTGGGGGGCCTCTCTGAGCCGACTTGGGGCCCTCTTGAGATGCTCCAGGGCCGTCTTGGCGGCCATCTTGGGCGTCCAAACAGTGGATAGCTTTCGCTGAGGAGATCGGCCGGGAACCCTGGAGCCCGGGAACCGAGAACCCACAAAAATCGGCCCGGAACCAATAACCGGGAACCCGGGACCCCGGGAACCCAGCCTGCTACCAAAATCGGCGGGAAACTTTCGCCATTAATCTTTCAACTTCCGATAGGACCCCTTCAGTGCAAGCACTGATTGGGGAACATGCATACATATATTACACCAGAGAAAAAGCCGAATCAATGGATGGTTTTCGAGGAGATCGACCGGGAACCCGGGAGCCCAGGAACCCAGAACCCACCGAAATCGGCCCGGAACCACTGACCGGGAACCCTGGAACCCAAGAACCCGGGAACCCAGCCTGCTACCAGAATCGGCGGGAAAATTTCGCCATTAATCTTTCAACTTCCGCTAGGACCCCGTCAATGCAAGCACTGAGTGGGGAACATGCATGCATATATATATATATATATATATATATATATATATATATATACATAGTACACCAGAGAAAAAGCCCAATCAATGGATGGTTTTCGCTGAGGAGATCGACCGGGAACCCGGGAGCCCAGGAACCCAGAACCCACCGAAATCGGCCGAACCAATGACCGGGAACCCAGGAACCCGGGAACCCGGGAACCCAGCATGCTACCCAAATCGGCGGGAAACTTTCGCCATATCTTTTAACTTCCGCTATGACCCCTTTCAGTGCAAGCACGGATTGTGGACACAAACATATACACACCTCTTTATATAGTATATACACACATATATGTCTATGATATATGTACATATGCATACATACAAACATACATACATACTTAAAAACAAGCATACTGACAGACAGACTGAAAGACAGACATGCATGCATACATGCATGCATACACATACACATACGCATACACATACACATACACATACACAGACACATACACATACACATACACATAGACATACACATACACATACACAGACACATACATATACACATACACATACACATACATCTACACATACACATACACGTGCACATACACATACACATACACATACACATACACATACACATACACATACACATACACACACAGATACACACATACATACATACATACATACATACATACATACATACATACATGCATACATACATACAGGCATGCATGGATACATGCATACATATAAAAAAACATACCTATAGACATATGCATATATACATATATATGTACACACATATACAAATATATAACATACATACATATAATTGTGGGCAGCCCCCCCCTAAACACCCATTCATCGCCTGCTTTATTTTGACATTGTTGTGCCCTTTTCCTTTCCGCCTCCCCCTCTTCCTCTTGTTGTTGTCTGTCTTGCTGTCCTACTCCCCCCTTTCCTTCCCCTACATACCTCGACTACACATTCCCCTAACGTCGTCTGCTGGCGCATTTTGTTCGACTCCACTGGCGAGCGTGCTGTGGCTGCCAGGCTGGCCAACGCCCAATGGCAGAACACCCGTAGAAGATGCAGACGGCGCTTTCCCACGCAAGGGAAGCCCACAGCTTGTGAGCCATTCCGCAAACACGAGGAGCCACCGACCCCTATGATGTCACTGGCATGCTCGGGATTTTTGGTGTTACTTCCAGAAACAATATGTTTCCACTGGGCTGTTGGGATTCTCGGGATTTCCCCGGATTCGTTGGATTTCCCCAGGGCTCCGATTGCCACGCATCCCAATGAGTTCTCAAGGTTCGCGACGTCAGAAAAGCCCCAACCTTGTGATGGGACTGGGATGCTTGGGATTCCTGGGGTGCTAATCCCAGGAACCATATCATTTCACCGGGATGCGTGGGACCCATGGGGTTGCAAGTCCTCCGGCGAAAATCCACCCTGGAACCCCTCAGTGCTCGGAATCCCACGCATCCCAGTGCATTCACGGGGCTCGCGACGTCAGGGAAGCCCAAGCCCTGTGATGTCGCTGGGATGCCTGGGATTCCTGGGGCACCAAGCCATGTGATGTCCCTGGGCTGCCCGTGCTCCGACCAAGATCCACCCTGGAGCCCTCCAGAGCTCCGCATCCCACGCACCCCAGTGAGTCGCCAGGCTCGCAGCGCCAGGGAAGCCCAAACCCCGTGATGTCACCTGGCTGCGTGGGAAATCTGGCGTGCGCTTCCCAGAAACCGTACGGGCTCGCCGGGACGCTCCGGGGACTCCTGGGATTCTCCCAGGGGCTCTGAACCCTGGATGCTCCAAGATAGATTGGCTTAGGGGCCGGAGGGGGAGGAGGGAGGAGGAGGAGGAGGAGGAGGACGAGGAGGAGGAGGAGGAGGAGGCTGAGGAGGAGGGAGGAGGAGGGAGGAGGAGGGAGGAGGAGAAGGAGGAGGGAGGAGGAGGAGGGAGGAAAGCTTCTGGGTTAGCATCCCAGTGAAATCATATGGTTTCTGGGTTAACACCCCAGAAATCCCAGGCATCCCAATGAAATCACGGGGTTCGGGGGCTCCTCGTGCCTGCGAGGTGGCTCACAAGCTTCGGGCCTCCTCTGAGTGGCAAAGCGAAGCTTGCATGTGGAAAGAAGGAGAGGAGGAGAAAAAGAGAATGAGGGAGAGAGAGAGAAACAGAAAGAGAGGGAAAGAGAAAGGAACAAACGAGAAAGAGAGAGAGAGAGAGACCCGGAAGCAATACGACAGGAATGAAGACAGCGAGAGGGGAGAGGGGGGGAAGAGAGAGAGAGAGAGAGCAAACAAAAAAGTCGAGAGAGGGAGAGAGCGCGAGAGAGAGGGGTGGGTAGATAGAGGAGAGAGAGAGAGAGACAGCGAAAGGGAGAGAGAGAGAGGAGAGAGAGAGAGAAGGAGAGAGAGGGGAAAGGGAGGGAGAGAGGGCGAATGAAACGAAGAAGCGGGAATACACAAGCGGCCGAAGCAGTGAGGAAGAAAGGCATCAGATGGATGAGGGTGGACGATACGAGGGGGGAAGCGCGAAGAGGATCTGGAGACGGCGGGAATCAGAAACGGGGAAAGGACACAGAGGACAACCACAGAATGCGATCGCTAAAGACAGGGGAGACGATAGCAGAGGTAAGCATGAGGGGCATAGGATGAGGGAGAGCATGGGCGTGAGCGGAACAAGTTGCTCTCAGGAGGGTGGTGGGGAATACGGGAAGATAAAAATATCAGCGTGGGTAAAAATAAGAACAATGCGAACGAATGTTAAAAAAGGCGCGAACGACGCGACTCACCGACGGGAAATGGATGGGTGCCGGGAGGCTGCGAACAATGGACACATGTGTATACATATATATAATATGACTATGTCGATGTGTACAAATACATGCATACACGTATACATGTACATGCGTATGTAGACGTATGTCTACACATATATGTATGTGTATATATACAACCATGCAGACGTCATAGCATGCACGTTAGCCAACGTGGTCCCCGCACAACGTGTCTAGTAAGATGTGTTGTGACATATATGTGGGGGGCAAGCTACGTGGTGCAAAATATATTATGCAATCTACGTTGTGCAATATAGGTTGTGCAAGTTTTGCCACGCACTGAAAGGGGTGCACTCTATGCGGTGCAATCTGCGTGGTTCAATTGACGCTGATTTCCTCGCGCGTGGCCGCCCCCCATGCTTGCGCCAACATCCCACCCACCCACCCACCCGCAACTTGGTTTGTAAAACCCATGCGGCTGCGATTGCGGTGGCTGCTTGGCGATGGTTGGTGCGTCGCTGCGGCCGCGCTAGTGCGCAGCCTCGCAAAGCGGCCAGCTAGTCTGGCGCGGCCGACGCGGCCGCGGTGGCGCTGACCGCTGGGAACTTCCCGGCGCGTATCGCAGGCCGCGCTGGCGCGCGGGCACATCAATCCGAGTCGGACTCGGGCGGGCGCGGTATCATGGCGACGCCGACACCTGCAGACACGATCATGATAGTAGCGATGCTGATAACGATGGTGACATTGACGAAGGCAAGGGCAATGATGGTGCCGATACTGATCACGCCGATGACGATGATGGTTTCCCCGCGTCGGCGATGAAGGTTTTGCAGAACTTGCAGAATTGACACGCACGCTCGATAGCCACGCTTGGTAGCAGTTGAAGAAAAGGTTGAAGACCGATGGTTCCCATAAGAATTCACCAAAGCGCGAGCGCAGGGTTTTTCTAAAATTCTTGTTGTGATACCACTGTTTGTTTGATATGCTTTAGGGGCCCTCGGTTCTGAAATCCGTACGAGTCGTAAAACTTGCAAGGATTCTGGAATGCGCGCGCGACAACGCGCGCGTGCACGTCGTCCCGTCCGTTTGCCAGGGTTTTTTGAAAATGCATGCGTGTGCGCGCACGCTATTTTTTGCAAAGGATGATGGGGTGTCGATACCGGACTGGCTGGGATCATATGAGTTCAGATTCGAAGAGCGATGGGGCAAAATCATATGTCAACTGCACATCCACAGGGGGCGGATAAGTCCAGCCCCGGGAGGGTGGTGGATCCTGATTCCCTCGTCGAGAAGAGAAGCTACGTTGTGCAATAGATGGTTGCAATATATGTTGTGCACCCTATGTGGTGCGATCTATGTGTTTGTTGCTATCTACGTGAAGCTATCAAGGGGTCGTGCAGCACATGTTGTGAAATGTAGGTTGTGCAACAGACGCGGTTGTGCAATATGTGTTGTGCAATCTATGTAATGAAATCTACGTTGTGCAACGTATGCAGTGCAATCTATGTTGTGCGAAATCAACAAGCGCGCCGCAGACGCGATATGGTCTTCTTCGCGCAGCCTACGTTGCACAATCCAACGGCGGCGCTGGGCGGCGACGATGCGGCGACGGCGGCCACATAGCCGCCAGACCGACGACCTCGCCCAGCTCCTTTGGACAGAAGCACAACCCATAGATGCAAGAGCTGTTCGGCATGTACAAATACATCGACATTCTGCGTATAAGTATACGCATACACATGTACGTATACGTATACGTATACTACACGTAGGCGTGTGCGTATACGTATAATGAGGGATCTATACATATATATGTATATATATACATACATACATACACAATTGCATATACGTACGGCTATACAAAGCCATACACACATGCACATACACGAATACATACACATACACATACACATCCGCATGCACATACACATGTGTACACATACATATATAATTATATAGATGTGCACACACATACATAAACATATATGTGTGCACTTACAGGTAAGCACATACATATGTGTATACATACGTACGTACAAACATTTATATATATATTCATGTTGATGCATATATCTAGTTATATAGACGTACATAAACATGTTAATATGCAAGTAACTGAACACATACGTACACACATTTTTATGTATAAACATTGATGTATGATAGATGTGCGTATTCCTCACCCTAGCCCCAGTGCTGGGTCGTAGGAGCTGGCACAACTAAGGGCGTCACGCGCATCGAGTGGACCCTCTCGACTCCTCGGCCCGATTCGACGACAGATCACTCACACAGGGAGACGGACGAATGCACATGTTTGCCTACTTGCAGAAGGAGAAACTCCGACGGGGCATGCAGGAGAGAAAAGACAGAGGGACAGACATGGGGACAGAGAAGAGAGCCCCGAGCAGCGCTCGCACTGTGGAGCTTGCACCCTTGCTTGCCTGAGTATGCCATCGGTTGGGAAGGTGCCCAGGTTTCGTCCAGCGCACGCCCGTCGCCGCATCGTCGCCGCCTCGGGGGCTGGCCGGGCTGGCCGGGCTCTCGCCCGGTGGCCGCTCGCCGCCGCCTCGCCGCCGCCTCGTGCGACGGCTGGGCTCACCGAGGCTTCGGCTGCGGCGCCCGCCCGCCGCCCCCTCGCCCCCGCCTCGTGCGCTGGCTGGCAGCGCCGGGTTCTCGCCCGAGGCCCGCCCGCCCGCCGCTTCATCGCCTCCCCAGGCGCCAGCCTCGGCCGGTGCCTGCCAGTCGCCGCCTCGTGGCCGCCCCGTGGGCGGGGCGTCTTGTCCCGCGCCCGCCGCCGCGCCCGTCGCCACCCTGTGGTTGCACCCCGTGGAGTGGACCACGTCGCTTGCAACCCATAGGCTGCACCACGTGGGCCCGTTTCCGCGCAAGGGCTGAGAGTCTGCCCGACACCCCCCCCCCCCGACCGAGGCCGGGGCTGTCCGCACCCCTCCGCGTGCTGCTTCCTACCATTCTGCGCGGGCGCTCGTGTGGAACAGTACAGCGTCACACGACGTGTTGTCGCCTCCAGCTCATCCCTGTCAAAAGTACCATCGGGTGCACGCGCATTGATCTACCAAGCGCGTTTCGTCAGAAATGCTATCAGATGATACGATGCAGGCCACATGCACGCACATGTGCGAAAATCTGATGAACACCAGTAGCTTCCTTCTGAATGAACGAATTGAACAAGCTCGATCAACGGAAAAATGCGCGCGCGCTAACAACAGACTAAAGTCATTTTCATGTTGCCCTTCTGCCGAATGAGGCCATGCGGCTGGCACGCGCGCGCACGTCGAAAACTCTCAGCAATCATCGCGCACCCGCAAACCCCGTCAAAGAGCATCATGCGGGCCACACGCGCGCGCGCGTCTCCGTACGCGTACGACGAAAATATGTCAATTCCACTGGCGTTCGAAACGGTCCCACAGCGAGGTGCTTCAGAACCTGTGGAACCCCAATGGCCTTTCAATGCACATCTGCCCAGATCCGCGTATTCCTGCGCGCGCACTTACTCGTCATCGTCATCAGCACCATCGCTATCATCATCGCGAGCGTCATCGTCGCTACCGTCATCACAATCATCTTCATCACCATCTTCGCCGTCATCCTTACCGTCGCCATCAGCATCATCGTCATCCTCGTCGTCGTCGTCCCCCTCGTCCTCAGCGCCGTCATCATCACCATCACCATCACCACCACCACCACCATCATCATCATCATCATCATCATCATCAGCATCATCAGCATCATCATCATCATGGTCATCATCATCATCATCATCATCATCATCATCATCATCATCATCATCATTATCATCATCATCATCATCATCATCATCATCATCATCATCATTATCATCATCATTATTATTATCATCATCATCAGCATCGTCACCATCATCATCACCATCGTTAGCATCATCATCAGCAGCATCATAACCATAATTCGCATCATCATCATCATCAGCAGCATCAGCATCAGCATCAGCATCAGCACCATCCATATAATCATCGTCTGCATCAGCATCATCATCGTCATCATCATCAACATCTTCATCATCATCCGCATCATCATCATCATCATCATCATCATCATCATCATCGTCATCATCATCGTCATCGTTAGCAGCATCATCATCATCGGCATCATTATCTACCATCAGCATGATCATCGTCGGCCCTATCATCATCATCATGTTCATCATCATCATCATCATCATCATCGTCATCATCATCGTCATCGTTAGCAGCATCATCTTCATCGTCATCGTCATCGTCATCGTCACCATCATCACCATCGTCATCATCACCATGATCATCATTGTCGACCCATCACCATTATCGACATCAACATCATGATCATCGACATCGACATCGACATCGACATCGACATGCCATCGCCATCCCCATCATCACCATCATCAGCATCAGCATCGTCATCCTGCTCATCATCATCATCATCAGCATCATCATCATCGCCATGACCGTCGTCATCATCAGCATCACCATCGTCATCATCATCATCGGCATCGTGATCATCGACATCGACATCGACATCGTGATCGTCATCATCACCATGAACATCAGCATTGCCATCATCATAATCAGCATCATCAGCAGCAGCAGCAACAGCAGCATCAACATCGTCAGTATCATCAACGTTCGGCAGCCCTAGTCATGGATCTGCATGAGAAGGGCCATCACGCCATGACGAGATTTGAGCTTTGCAAACAACTTGCATGCAAGTGGGTCGATGCTAATTCGATCGAGCCGTGCAGTTGACGACAAGGATCGGAATTGACGACTGCATCTCCTAGATTACACATCCAGGGTGCAAGAACTGTCTGCTTGGGGTCCCCGCTGGCAAGGAATAGGTACACTGACAAACATGCAGATACAAAGTATCGATAGGGGCAAAGACACAGAGAGACAGAGGGGACACATACGTAAAATGATCCGCCACCGTGCCCTTGGGCACGGAGTGGGCGTGTCCTCAAGTCCTTTGCCTCATCCTCTGAGCCTTTTTTTTCCCTACCTAGGCTCTGCCTAGAAGGGTTCTTACTCTGTTGGCTTAAAGGGGCCAGGCAGTGGAAACCGCCCCGGGCGGTTCACCCAGTCCCGTGGGAGCCAAGTAAAAGCAACAGCAAAGGTAAAAGCAAACGCGCGGTTCCCCCAGTTGCGCTCCCTGGGTGCCAAGCAAAAGCAAAAGCAAAGGCAAAAGTGAAGGCAAAAGCGAAGGCAAAGCAAAAACATAGCATAGCATAACATAGCATAGCATAGCATAGCATAGCATAGCGCAGCATAGCATAGCGCAGCATAGCATAGCATAGCATAGCCTAGCCTAGCCCAGCATAGCATTGCGCAGCATAGCAAAGCATAGCATAGCATAGCAGAGCAGAGCAGAGCATAGCATAGCATAGCGCAGCACAACATCCACTACTGCTGCTGCTATATATATATATACATAACGTATGTACTTATATGTGTGTGCGCACGTATGTTCCATGCATGTTGCCCGTCTGCGGGCCATATTAAGCCCTTAGTGGGGCAGCTTGAGCCTTTAGGATTCACGAAGGTTTCGCACATAGCACCGGCCGGGAGACATGAAACCCGACGTATTATCGAATGTCCTAAATGTCTTTCTATATCTGCAGATATGTGTATATATATATATATATACATAACACCATGTGGAATGCTGCATGTGTGCGTGCGTGTGTGTGCATGTATTTGTTCAGCACCGCGTCGTAATGCCTTTCATCCTCGTTGCCGTTCAGCCTTCATTCCGTGACTCGCAGAGCCACGCAAGAGCGTGCAGCAGTGTATTTTCGTCATGCGGGCATTCTTACGAACCTCGAGTGGCGAGGCACGAGACCCAGCAAGCAGTGTTGAGCATCTTGCAGAGAACAATGTTCCAAGCAGTGTTGAACAACCTGCTACTACTACTACTACTACTACTACTACTACTACTACTACTACTACTACTGCTCCTAGTACTACTACTACTACTACTACTACTACTACTACTACTACCACCACCATTACTACTACTACTACTACTACTACTACTACTACTACTACTACTACTACTACTACTACTACTACTACTACTACTACTAATACTACTACTACTACTACTACTACTACTACTACTACTACTACTACTACTACTACTACTACCGCTACTGCTACAACTACGACGATGAGGAGAAGGAGGAGGACGGCGATTACCGCTCCTACGAATGTTGCTTTCCTAGAGGCTCCAACTCCTGGGTAGGGTCGCACTGGGATAATTTCTTCCTCTCCGCGCATCGGCCACGAGCCACGAGTGCAAGGCGCGTCTGAAAACCAGGACGCGGTGAAACGAGGGCCCGGCCAGCAGCGCGCTAAGTAGCGTCAAAGCAGGAGGAGGAGGAGGAGGAGGAGGAGGAGGAGGGGAGGGAGGAGGAATTACACAACCTCCAGGTCTGGACCCCAAATCGCCACATCTCCCGAGGGCCGAACGATCGCTCCAAGACGCCCACGACGGCCCCACGGCACAGGAGGCATCCAAGACGCCCAGGAGGCCTCCAAAGGGTCTCCCAAGAGGGCGGCAAGAGGCAGCATTCATTGATTCTCCTTGGGCTGTTGACGGATTTTGGCGTTCTCGCCTGTTCTGCTTTCCGACGCTCGACGACGGCTCAAAGGGCCCACAAGACCACCCAAAGACGGCCCAAGGGGCCTCCACGAGGGCCCAAAGACGGACCAAGAGCGCCCCATGACGGCCCAAGAAACGCCCAAGCGGCCCAAGAGGGCCTCAAAACGGCCCCAAAAAGGGCCTCAATAGAGGGAACACGAACCGAGAACTCGAGCCTTCCGCCCCAAGAGGCCCCCAGGAAGCCCGAGGAGGCGCCGCAGAGGCCCCAAGAGGCCCCCAAGAGGCTCATCCAAGAAGGCCCAAAAACAGCCCCCAAGAGGCCCCAAAACAGCCCCCCAAGGGCCTCAGAGCTGCCTCCAAGAGGCCCCCGAGAGGCCCCAGAACTGCCTCCAAGAGGCCCCAAAACAGCCCCAAAGGCCTCAGAACTGCCTCCAAGAGGCCCCCGAGACGCCGAGAGGCCTCCCACGCGATCCCAACGCACACCCAATAGGCTTCATCCTACGCAGGCACGCTGGCGGGATGGGCCGAAGGCCGTTCGATATACGCACACAGACGTAAAATCCCACCAGCCCTCTGGACGTAGGTGGTTTAACGAGGGTGGTCTCCCCTCTGCCCAGAATCC